GGGGGGGGTCACCCCGGCGCAGGACAAGGCACAAAAGCAGGCGTGTGTGTCCGAGTGTGTGAGGGAGGAACACAGAGAAAAAACGCAAAGCGAAGAGTCCGAACCGGCCCGGCTCCACACCGTCCATCACCCCCCCCCCCCCCCCCCCCCCCCCGTAAAGGAAGCAGCCCACAGAGAGAACACAGGAAGGTACCACAGAGCAACAGGTCCCAGCAGCTCCTTCGGCCGCCTGCAGGGGGCAGCAGGACGCCTTCATCACCACAGAGGGGGGGCATTCTGCTTTTAAATCCCCTGAAGCTGCTTCTTTAGGAGAAAAAAACTCAGGGCTCCAGGAGTTAAAGATCCTTAAAATCTGATTTCTGTCTCAAGAGCTCCAACTCGTCCACTAAAACATTCAAGCAGAGAACGTTTTCTTTGCTTTAAGGCGCAGAGAGGAGTTTTCCCCCCTCGTTTTAATCCTAAAATCATGCTTTTCTTGGTGCTTTGCCGTCAGATCTATGAATCCGTTTGTGTAAAAAGGCCGAATCTTCTCCACTTGAATCTGAACTCCTGAATATGGGACGCAGAGAGGGGGACTTCATCAGGTTTTTACAGATGCTGCTTTGCCCAAAAGAAGGTTTGGAGAATGAAGGTGACAAACACTGATGCTGCTAATGAGCACAGCTCCAGGGTCTGTGCACATCTAACAGCATCTGAGATCACCTGGAAAAGCCTCTTCAGGACATTTTTTGTCTATATGATCTGGAGCTGTGGGCTAAATGGACGGGTCCTGTTGAGCAGAAATAACAAATTTATGTCTTTTTCTGTAAAAGTGGCTCTGACCTGATGAAGACGCCCCCCAGCGGCTGCAAAATTCAGGATTTCTCCACCTCAGATTTCAGTGTTTGCTCCACCTGCTTTTAAATGTAGATCTTATAAACCTGAAAAATTCCAGAATACTTTAATTTAAAGGCTGTTTTTGGGGATCTTTGAGTGACTCTTGTCTTTGTTTTCCACAGGAACCCTGAGCTCTTCGCAGCCTCTGCCTCCCTCTGCGCTCTTCCCTCTCCACCCGTTTGTTCTCTGCTTTCTACAGGCGTAAATAACTCAAAACGGAGGCTGTCGGCGGGTCGTTCGGCGTGTCAGGAGCCATTAGCGCCGTCTGAGTGGCGAAAAGAAAAGCCAGGGCGAAAAAAACTCACAGACTAATCTGTGTGAGGCTCCGCCCACTCCGCACTTTGCAAAGTTTTAATTGGCCGATCGGGGACCAGAACTTGTTTTTATTGAGGACGAGCGGGCTCCAGTGGGGCGGCGGGGGGAGTGGGGGGGGTTCCAGAACCCCGATATGTGGGTCGAAGCCCTCCAGGCGCTTTCTGACTCCACGGGGACAAAAAGCAGTCTGCAGAACCCCGGAAGGAGCCGAGCCCGGTCCGGTTTGCTCAGAACGACACAGCCCAGGTCTCTCTGTGGACTGCCCGTTGCCATGGCGCCCAGCATCCCTCAGAAAGCGGCTGGAGGCCGGGGCCTGTGGGGTTCTGCCCCACGGGACAGAGGACAGTCTTCCTTTGCTCCGAGATCCTCCAAATGTCCAGCCCAGGGGGCCTCGGGGCCGCTGGCCTCTGGGACCGTCCCGGCGGCGCTCACTTCCCCGGGAACACGGTGATCTTGCCGGCCTTGGCCAGCTGCTGGATGATCTGCGCCTCGAAGTCGGCGTCGTGCACGCCGGTCTTCCGGAACTCCCCCGAGTAGCGGTTCTGCTCCCAGTAGTGGTGCCAGTTGCCCCGGCCGTCGGCGCCGAAGCCGAACACGTTCACCTGCAACGAGAGAGCAGGAGCTGGCTGGGACGAGAACAGGAACAGAAACAGGAACAGAAAGCAGGAAGCAGGAACAGGAACAGGAACACAAATAGAAACAGGAACAGGAAGAAACAGGAGCAGAGTGCTGGAAGCAAGAACAGGAAGCAGAACCCGGAACAGAAACAGGAAGGAGGAACAGAAACAGGAAACAGGAACAGAAATAGAAACAGGAAGCGGGAACAGGAAGGAACAGAAGCAGGAACAGGAAGTGGGAACAGAAACAGGAAGCAGGAACAGAAACAGGAACAGAAGCAGGAACAGAAACAGCAGGCAGGAACACAAATAGAAACAGGAACAGAAAAAGGAAGCAGAACAGGAGGGAGCAGAAACAGGAAGCGGGAACAGAAACAGGAAACAAGAAGCAGAACAGGAAGGAGCAGAAACAGGAACAGGAAGAGAAGCAGGAACATAACAGGAAACGGGAACAGGAAGGAGCAGAAACAGGAACAGAAACAGAAGCAGTACCAGAAACAGAAACAGAAGCAGGAAGCGGGAACTGGAAGCGGGAACAGGAAGGAGCAGAAACAGGAGGCGGCACTGACCTCATCGCAGACGTGCAGGGCGAAGAACAGCACCAGCATGCCGGTGGACGGGTAGCGGCCGTGGTGCCGGGTCCAGCGGTCGTGGATGTATTTGAAGAACGCCGGGTTGAAGATCTGGACCTAATGGAGACAGGAGAACCGTTTTCCCGCCTGCTCTCACACCGTTCTGGTGTCTTTCCTCCTCTCCTCTGATGATCCAATCATCTAAGGCCACCACCTCTGATTTCTGGTTCAGTTTGAACTCAAACCATACTAGTTCCACCTCAAAAATGATCAATTTTTAGCTTTCATGTATCAAAATCTGTCCTGTTTAACTTAGAGACTCTGGATTCATCGTCTGCCGCCTGTTGATTCTCACTTTTTAGGCCCCAAACTGGGGGAGGGAACCTCAGAGATCTGTGTTTATGGGTCAGCCTGAGGGACGCTGACCGGGCAGAGATCCCCTCCACATCCCGACACGGGGGGGATTCATTTGAGTTTATTTATCTGTGCGGATTAAAGAGATTAGTGGAAACAAAGGGAAGGTTTCTAATCGGCCACGGGCCGGGAGGACGGGGTGTCAGCAGGGCAGCATCCCTCCGGCTGGCCGGGGCTCTACCACTCTGGAAAAGGCCACAGCTCATCTAATCTCATCTAAAAACAGACCTGAGCAGAATTGGGGTAAATCTGTAGGTAAACTCCATTTAATTTTTATTGTCCGGCTTAATGCTGATCCTCATATTCTCTTTGAAGCGTTCACACATTTGCTGTCTGGAAAATAACATCGCTTAGGTGGATTGATAGTGCTCCACCTACCAATGGGGGGGGGGGCATAAGGTGGTGTTTGACCTGCTGCCAATGAAAAACCCGACACACAGATTAAAGTGAAAGCTGGAGGATTTTTGTAGGTAAAAGGTAAAAGACTCACAACCATCACAGGAAAAGGGATTATAGATGGCTAACAGATGTTTTGGGGTCATAAGGCAGGACAGGAATTTACTTCGTTACTTTTTTGTTTTTCTATTTCACAGAAGGAGGAAGACGATTATAGATGTGTTTTTTGTAACAAGACTGAGCGTTTCCTTAAGAATATGCGTGAATGTGTATATGGAGATGTGCTTAATTCCCACATCCTCCCAGTGGTGCTCCCACAGCTTATTAATTCAGCGGAAATGTTTTTTCCTGAGAACATTGAACTGTGTACACATAACACATGACAAACAGTTCGAGGATTGTTTTTGTTTTTTGTAGCCTTGTAGTGTTTGTTAAGAAAAAAAAATAGATAAAAAAAGAACATACCTTGTCTTTGTCTACACGCAGGAACTGCTTAACTGGAGCGTACGTGCTGGAGGAGAGAGACACAATAACGTATTATTATTATTAATAATAATATTATTAATATTTTATTATGTTATTTATTATTTATATATACATATTATCATTATGTAGGTATTTATTTATCTATCTATCATTATGTAATAATGATTTATATATATAAACCATTAAATAAATTAAATAAATATATATATATAATCATTATTAAGTGAATAAACATATAAAACCATTTATGAAATAAATAAAAACCAGGAGCTGTCACTTTAATAGCTCCTGTGCGTGTGTGTGTGTGTGTGTGTTTGTGAGTGTGTGCGTGTGTTTGCGTGCTCACAATCGGATCTGGCCGGTGGACAGGGCGCTGGTGATCCAGACCAGGTCCAGCGTTTTGAAGGGGACCAGGACGAAGCTGACGTTGGGCGCCAGGTTCTTGGCGCTCTCCGGGTACATGAAGTGGTGCGTGGTGCGGCTGCCCGCGTCCTCCTCGTAGCCCACCGTGGGGGCCAGGTTTATCCTGGGGGGGGGGGGGGGGGGGAGGGAGAGGATCACAGGTCTGCAGACACAGGCTGAGGAGAGGAGTCAAGGGTTTTCGTTTGATCTTGTTTTAACATTAAGCCGTATGTGTGTCGCCCAGGTGGGTCACGTGACCCCAAACCCCAATGGAGGCCAGCGTTCCAGAGTGGGATTAGACTGAGGCACTAAACCTGCTGTGGATGGGGCCTTGGGGGGGCGCCTCACCTCATGATGAAGCCGTGGCCGTCGATGGTGGCCCCGTACCCGGCCCCCCGCAGGTTCCCAGAGTTCCCCACCACGGCGCAGCGCAGGCAGCGGCCCGGGTCCCAGGAGCCGTACGGAGACCTGCCGGGGATCACCTGCAACGGAACCAGGCCGGATCACACAGAGCCCCCCGGGGGCCCCAGGGGGCCTCAGGGGCCACTGGGGGGGAGGGGCCGTTGGGGGCCGGTCTGACGTACCTGGAAGAGGCGCAGCAGCACCTGCTGGATGCTGTGGGGTTTGAACTGGGGCTGCAGCATCTGCAGACAGATACAGATACAGAGGGGTTATTCCCCCCCCCCCCGGAGTCTCACCCCCCACCTGACACAACCCCCACCTAAAAAAACTCCTGCTAATAGATTAAATGCTCAGTTTGAGACGGTTCGCGCCGTTTAAATCGTCGTTTGTGCTGCTTTTGCTCCTGAGATATCCATCGATCCATTATCATAACCTCTTATCCCCTAATGGGGTCGTGGGGGGACTGGAGCCTATCCCAGTAGCCAATAAGGAGAGGCGGGGTCACCCTGTACGGTCCCCAGTCCATCACAGGGACACACAGAGACACACAAAGACCAACAACCACACACACTCACACTAAGGGCAGTTTGGAGCGTCCAATAAACATGCAGGTTTTTGGACGGTGGGAGGAAGAACGGGGAGAACCCGGAGAGAACCCACAGACACAGGAGAACATTAAGACTCCACCCAGAAAGGTCCTGGTTCCCCCGGGACTGGAACCCAGATTAAGATGAATGTTCATGGCCAGTTTAAATGGACTTAATCTGATTAAACTGTTTAAATGAATTAGCCTGTTGTTGACGGGGCTTCATTTAATTCATTCATCCCTTTACGTTGTCTCTCTGTAGCCTCGTTCAGTTGTCTCTTACTCCCAACAGGAGAGCTTTAACCTTTTTCCTGCTTTACATTAAATGGCTGGAACGCTGTGTGTCCTCTGTGGCTCTCTGACTGTCCCGGCTTTGTTGGCTCCTCGTCTCCATCCTTTCCTGTCAGGTCCAAATGGATTTATCGATCTGGATGTTGGACATCTGCTGACTGCAACACGAGGGGGTCAAAAGGAAAGGCTGCAGCCCAACGCCTGAAGCAATCCAAACTTCAGACTAAGACTTTACACCAAAAGATGTCTGATTTAACTGAATTAACAGCTTTAATTATGCTAATTAAGGGCAGCAAATGTGCAGGAATAACGTCCATTTTTGCAGCTTTAAACCCATCAGAGGATTAACTCACAGCTGCTTTCTGCTTTTTGTCTTTAAAAAATAAAAACTCTCGGACAGATGTGGGCTGTTTACAATTTTAACGGCTTTTTTTACCCAGGAATAAAACTTTATAGTCCAATTTGAAAAGGCAGCCAGAGGCCAAAAGACTAAAATGAATCAGTCTCATTCTGGCTGCAATTTATGTAAAAAATGCCCGGAAAATGAACTTCTATGGAGATAAAAACACAATTATGCACGCATAAGGTAAAAATAAATGCCGATATTAAAACGTTTAAGCATCCTGAACAAAATAAACAACTCACGGCTCCTTTAGTTAAAGTTGGCCTCAATGTTAAGGAGTCAAATTCAGCTACACGAGTCACTGCCAACAGCTTTTTTCTATCAAACAGTGGCATCAATGTACATTTCATTTAAATTAATTTACTAAAATGCCTCCAATAAACACAATTAATTTAGTTTAGAGTTATTCAGAGTTCATTTAAAGTTAAACGAAGAGAAATTCAGTTGAACATTCGAGCAAAGTCGTGACACGATTACCTTAAATTCATTATCAGAAACAGATCAGTTTTTTACTCAAGTTGTCAAATGCCCACAATGATATCCTGTTAAAGAGAAGCTGAGATGGACTAGAAATCATAGAGATTGAACGAGCTAGTCGTGAATATTAGATCAGGATGAGGGTTACATGCAGAGTTCTCTGCCTCTGCATCCTGTTAATATGTTCAAATAGGAACATTCAGTATTTCAGTAGGGAGAAATCTTAATAAAAATAGAGAAAGAAGACGTTGGCCGGTCAGCACTCCTCGTGTCCAGCCTCCCTCCTCCTGGCTCAGCTAAACCAGGAGGAAGAGATGATGATTCATTACCCCAACCCTCAAATTAGAGCCATAAGCAAGCATCTTCTGTGGGCACAAACAGAGAGTGTTTGATGGCGATCCGACGGCGTGCTGAGGCTAACTGGAGCCCGATCATTAACTCTTATTACTGTGTTGTGCTGGAGGCTCTTATGTTCAAATAACAACAAAAAAATAGACTTCTAGTTTGAACGGAACACTGAGTTTTGCTCTCCGACTGTCAGACTGCAGATGTTTTTACTAACTAGAGGAGAAATGCCTCCATGGCGCAGTCGTTTGAGCAGTTTTAGGGATTTAGACTGGTTCTAAAGGCACAGACGAGTGGACAGGGAAGCTTGTGGAGCCCTTAATGGTGCAAATACAAGATTTCGGCTTGTCGGATTTACTGTTCGTGCTGGACTCTGGAGCCCTTTGGCCCCTTTTTCTGCCATCCCACAGCTGGAATCCAGAGGTGGAAGAGCTCAGACTGACTCATTCAGGACCCTGTCTGAATTCATATTGGCAAAAAGCACTTAGGGCACTTTGATATTGATGGCGGCTGAAATGACTCGCCTTCTTATTGAGTCCCCGTGTGCCTGAGGTCCATTTTAAGGTTGTGGGAGACTAAAATGAAGAAGGTGGAAGCAGATGTGGATTATGTGGATGTTTCTAAACATGTGCTGGTAGCTGGTACATCCAGATGTGTTCGGTTTGTTGGGAAAGTGGACTGTCCTGTTAGATGGGGGGGGGGGGGCAGGGAGGAAAGGAGCATGGTCTCCCTCCAGAGCTGCTAAACGTGTGAGAGCAGAACTGATTCCACTCTCTGTCTCCAAGTGAAGGAGATGGAGGTCAGTCTGATCAATGAGTCCAAAAATGGAGAAATAATTCTGTGCTGCTTTAAAACGTTCCTGATCCACTAAATGACGGCAGATCTGTTAAAGTCTGGATGCTTTTAATGAAGCTCTGCTCCTAAAATGGACACTTTGAGCTCCCAAACATCCAGATTTAACCCCTGTGAGCTCTGAGGCTCCTTTCTGAGCCCAGATCCTTTTTCCTTGGCTCAGTTTAAGCTGAACTCTCGCAGAGTTCCTGTCATTTTCCGGAATTGTGTCCCTCTGAGTCCTTTACAGATCAGATGAATGTCAGTATTCCTCATTCATTTATTGGTGTTTTATGAATATTTTGGTCCTCAGGACACAAATGGAGCCTCATGGAGCAGAACGCTCACAGTTTGTCGTTTCTGGCTCAGGAAACTCACTTGTGCACACTAACTTTGATGGTTTTAACTATTACTGCAAATAATGAACTAATCTGTAGGATTTCTGACTGTTTCCACTCAGAACTGAGGAGTATGTTTGATTAAACCGACCTCTACTTCTGGAAAAAAGGGTATTATATGTCAGTGAGTTGGTCATGTTGCAGAAAAATGAGGTAAAAAGCCAAATCGCTGAGTTTTTTCTGAGCAGAGAGCAGAAATCAGTTTAAGTTTTGATCCAAACAGACGCCATTCAAAGGAGAATTAATCATTTGTAATGGGATAGAAACGGAGGAACAACAGCAACAGAGCTCATTAGCTCAACATAATGGCTTGAGGAGGCGGCATCTCGAAGGGTCAAAGGTCAGGAGTGCAGCTAACAGCACGTTTTGTCTCGCATGTCCAGTGTGTAATGGTTTTATGTGGGATTATGTGCACGACTCAGCTGGTGCCATGCAAACAAACATGATAAAAGCTGTTAATCAGTGAGCTTTAGAGGAGCTTTTAAGAAGATTTGGTTTCGGTTGGACGGTCCTGCCTTCGGTTTCCGGGCTTCCAGAGTTTGTGGCCCGTCTACTTAACTCACAGCTATCGGGTTTAGACCCAGATTCGGAAAGTTTACTGGAAACAAAGCATCAGAGTTAAGCCTCCGGCGTGGCAGACCTACACAAAACAGCAGCATTAGAGTTCTACCGTTTATTAAGAGCCCTGGATTGATTTCAGCCTCCGGACTCTGGGGATTTGACCTCAGGGCTGAAATGCGAGCGGGTAAGCCAGCCATCTTGTGGCGCCATCAGATTGGACCCACATTGCTTTACACCAAGGACGAATCAGCTAAAGGAGGGGTTGGATTTCTCTTTTATCAGCCTAAAAAATGACTAAATATGTCCTGAAGTCAGTAACGAAAACAGAAGGCTTCAATGAGCAGCAAATCAAGCTGCTTTTTAACATGCAGAAAATGAAAGAAGAGGGATGAATCCAGATCGGTGCTCGGGTTATTGAGCTGCTCTGTGACAGCAGACGTTTGCAGCTGGTGTTTAACACAACGCCAAGGAGGAAAGACACCAGAAACCCCTGCTGCCCGCCAGCCTGAAGCTTTAAAGGCTGTTTACAACTATCCAGAGTCCATGGCTCTGCACAGAAAAACATTCGATTCATCCATCCATTATCGTAACCTCTTATCCCCTAATGGGGTCTCGGGGGGACTGGAGTCTATCCCAGTAACCAATGGGGAGAGGCGGGGTCACCCTGGACGGTCCCCAGTCCATCACAGAGCCACACAGAGACACACAAGGACCAACAACCACACACACTCACACTAAGGGCAGTTTGGAGTCCAACCAACCTAGCATGCAGGTTTTTGGACGGTGGGAGGAAGCCGGAGAACCCGGATAGAACCCACAGACACAGGAGAACATGCAGACTCCACCCAGAAAGGTCCTGGTTCCCCCGGGACTCCAACCCAGAACCCTCTGTGAGGGGATGGTGCTGACCACCACACTCCAAGTCCCAACAGCAGGAATTTCACAGCGCTTTCCAAAAAGAATCAGAACGCCCAACAATTCCCACAGAGCAGAGCAGCACTAGGCGACACAGGCAAGGAACAACTTCCTCACAACCAGATGTTTTCATGGAGTCCCCACCCCGGTCCAGATGTGCTTCTCCCACTCAGAGACCAGCTGTGCAGAGCGGAGGAGGACGGCTACTTACCACCCACCAGTAGTAGACGTCGGGGGGCAGCTGGATGTTGTCCCGGGTCCAGACCGGGGACACGTCCGGCTCGTAGCTCTCGTCGAACCAGTCGGAGACCCCCGGGTCCCCCACGCAGCGCGGGCAGGCGCAGGTCCTCTGCGGGGGGGCGGCGGGCGCCGCCAGCCGGTGGGCGCCGGCGTAGCTGGGCACCAGCTTGACCCGCCGGGACTCCTCCCAGCCGGGGGGCTCCAGGTAGCCCAGCCCCACGCCCCCCCGCAGGGACACGGACAGCAGCAGCGAGGTGAGGAAGACCAGCGCCAGCGTCCCCAGCAGCACCCACAGCCGGCGGGAGCACCTCGGCCGGCCGCCGGCCGCCCCCCCGCCCCCCCCCGCCGCCGCCCCCCCGCCCGCCCGGAGCCGGCCGGCGCCTCTGTTGGGGACGCCGCTCCAGGGGCCCCAGCCCCTGTCCCGCTGCAGGCTGGAGGGCGGGATGCGGCCCCCCCACGGCCATGCCCCCGGCCCTGGGCCTGCCACTCTCCCCGCCCCCCCGCCGCCCCCCCAA